CATGTGTGACTGAGTGTAACTTAGCCTTGTAAGTACAAAAGTGTTAGTTAAACCTCCAGGATGGGATTTGCACAGGGATTTTGGACGTCCGTTTCTTGTTGAAATCCATGAGGGCTGGGTGTCCAAGTGTTCTAGCTAGGTTTGAAAATTTCAGCCCTGATAGTCAATAGATGCAAGGTGATGGGTTCAAATTTCCCTCCATCATCCTGCAGTCTAAATATATCCCTTTCAAAAGATGCCATATCTCTAACTCTGCCATCCTCTCCAAAATTCACAGCATGGTAACTAAAATAAGAGAATATTGTGGAGTTCCTTAAGAGTTTTGAAGCCATCCTTTTCCTGCAGCAGAGCGTATTTCACAGACCTTTATATAAGCAGGATTCTTGGCAGCACAGCTGAGTAATCATTGTGTTACTTGTGCCTTCATCACGATCTTGGTGTGCATTCCAGATGTTCATACGTTGACTTGCTTGCTGTCTCTGTTTACCAAGCATTTTATCTTTAATTACAGTCTCTCTTGGAATTCCGGTCTATTTTTGTGTGGGTCCAATTAAATTGATATAGTAAGTCTTGCTTGCCAGTAATGACGGTGGCACAGCCTGATGCTGCTGAATAAATACATTCTAGTTGTATCATGGGTAGTGTCTTCCCCAGGTTCACCTGATTCTGATGAGAAGTAAGTTATCAACGTGGTGTGCTGGCCCACCAGCAAAAACTCCACATAGAAGAAACGCTTGCAGGTTTAGGGACTGAGAAGTTCCTTGGTCTGGTGTGTTACTCCCAAGTTTATTAAAGGCTTTGGCTGTTGATTCTTGATCTCTGTTTTGTGAAAGGAGACCCTCAGTGTTTGTTTGTTTTTTCCATTGGCCCTAATAGGAATCTTGCACATTGACCAAGGAGGAATTAGAGCTTTTTAATGAATGAACAGTCTCTGCTCCGGTGACAAATTGCAAAACAAAAAGGAGGAAAGTTAATACATGCCCATGATCTGGGATCCTAGAAGTTCTGATGCTTGCCAACTTCTAGCAGGGCTATCCAACTTTGCCAGTTGTATATGATAGTGCATCATTTTTTCTAAAATTTTGCCACATGAGTGGCTCCTTAAGATTCGATCCATAATTCAGCATTCCCCCCCCCCGCCCCATTTTTTTAAGTTAACTCCTTCTGCTTCTTTGAGTAGCTTCCCTGTTGTTTGACTCAGCTAGGACACATTTTGTGCTTCATCTGTTCTTGGCCATATTACTACTATATGATAAGGTCTGGTCTTCTATGATGGGATTTTTCCCCTAGATTATACTCTCAGTAATGCATTTCTCAGGGTAGTAAATTGGAGGAAAATCTTTTCTTGGTAGGATTTCAGTGAGATGAGAACTGAGCTCCCAAACAGCTCTTTACTTGTCCCAAAACATTGTTAAAAAGCTACATTTCTTACTGCCGATGATTTTCCCCCTCCGACCATCACACTTTGAGAGCAGAAGGTCTCCGCAAACACCTTAAATAGCTTTTACTGCTTCTGCATTCATATAGTGCCTTTGATTCAAAGCACCAGAGAACAATAACAGAAGGATGCAACAAGGAAACAAAAAATTTGCAGTAATCAGCATTTAAAACAAAAAGATAACATCTGCTGATCCTGTGCGAGAGTAAGAAGAAAAGAGGAAAGGAAAAACATTGCATACAGAGGCAGCATACCATGGGTATTGTTTATAGGGGTGTGTCCAATGGCCCTGTGAATGAACCTGTTTCAGTCAAACTGAGGACATTAAATGGGGCTCTCTTGATTTAGTCTTTTACTGTTTGTTGTGGGGCTCTGTGCTATAACCCAGATGCAAGGCAATGTTGTCCACTTAGCTACATTTATAAACGAGTGGATTTACAAATAACTGCTTCCTGATTGACATGCCCTTGGCAGGCTGCCCACATATGGCCCAGTCCTGCAGACCTGAAGTCAGTGGGAACACTCAGGTGGGTAGGATTTTACCCTTATATTTTTCACTGTTCTCATTGGGCTCATGGGGAACACACAGGAATGGGAGCTGGAGTGGAGGAATTCTCAGACTTGCTCCTTGTGGAGATGTGTCTTCAATTCATTCCATCTGGGTGTAGGGTTTACCCCTCCCGTGGGACCATTTCCAAGGGTTCAATTGGTGTCTAGGTCCATTTACACAGAAACCCAGTGCCAGCTCTGTCCCCAATACACCCTCCCCACAACTGGCAGAACTGATGAAGTTTCAATAGCCAGCTGCTGTTCCAAGGTGCCCTGTGATGCTGTCTGTCAGGACTTCTCTGGCCCCTTCTGAAGGCCTTGTCACCCTGACAACCCCTGCTGAAGGAAAGCCCACTATACTCCAGAGGCCTAGACGGGCCAGGCAGAGACACTGACCAATCGGGAGCCATCAGGCCAGTTAAGAAGACTTGTCTGCTTCTTAGTGTGAGGTGTGGGCAGTGTGAGGTGTCACTGGATGGGGAGGAATTCCTCAGTGCTAGGCCAGAACCCCCAGGCCAGGCCAGGGCCTTGCCTTCAGCACTGCAACTAAGCACTTGAATTTGAGGTTTATGCTCTTTATTTAAAGTCCTAGACAGCCACATTTGGATTTATTTTTTTGATTTAACTGTTTAGAGACTGATGCCAAACTTACGCAAGGGCCACTATACTCCAAACAGGTGTCCAAAGCTATTGCACTAAGACAGAGAGCACCTGTATTACAATGCTTGGTCCCACAGGGGGCACCTCCACCTGCCACATGCTCCCTTTAAGAAGGGTTGCGGGAGTGAAACTCTAATGCAGCCTGTATGCCTATCCAAATGGTATCTAAACCGTTTTGGGGTTGCAAAAGTGGGTAGCAAACTCTTGTGAACATGCCCATTTCCAGTATTCTCTGTGTGGTCAGGCTGGGGAGATTGCAAGAAGTGCCTTCTTTCAGTGTTTCATCACCGTTTTTTCCTCTCACTTCTAGAAACAGGAATAGCAGGAGAGGTGAAGGGTGAAGAGGTGAAGGGGAAGTTAGTTGAACTTTTGAACCTCTTAACAGCTTGAGTTTGGATTTGGGCTGTGTGTGAGTGAAGAGTTGGGTCCTTTGTTAAGGCACACCCATTTGCCAATCACTACACTTGTCTTGGTGAATGGTCTCTGTGTGTGTGCATACCTCCCACCCCAGGTGTGTTATGTTCATTCCAGTGGCTGAACCTCAAAAGAGTAGCTATACTGAGGCTGAATGAACCCCACTGGGTCCAACTGATGTTGGTTACACAAGTCAAGCCCTGCAGGATCTGTCTGTAGAGACTGGCAGTGGGCCAACCTCTGTTGTTTTCTCTTGAAGGTCTTGAGTTCTGAGGTTTGTTTGACTTTTCTAATGTGGGTCTGCTTGTATCAGAACTGGGGTGCTCATTCTTAAATATTATAAAATATTGAGTCATTTGTACAGTATCCATTTTGAGCCTTATATAGGATAGGTGATACCCTAGGTAGAACATTGATTTAATGTTACTTAATTAAATAGTATTCATTTAAGTAACACATTGTGCAGTTCAGTTTGCCTCCTGGGTTCCTTCTTTCATGCAGCATTTTCTCCTTTGATTTTTTTGAATGAATTTATGACCCAGAAAATAAGACTTCATTTTATGACTGACTCCGAGCTGCCTGCTGCAGCTTTTATTCCCTCCATAATAAAATCCTTCTTTTGTTTAGCCAAATTCTCCTTTCTAGCCCAAAATAATGGGCTCAGGCTTGGAGAGGAGATGATAATGATGATAATTTCCCTTTTCACACGGAGCATGTGAATTTTGCAGCAATATATGGGAAAACCTGTGCTAACAGTTATTTGTCTCAGTTACCTATCAAATCCCAGTCTTCACAAGAGTTCCTCATTATTAATTGTATTGTGCTGTGTTGGCCAACTCCTTGGCACAAGCACCTTGTCTCCTCCTCTTTGATCCAGAGCAAAACACAAAGTTGATGCTTACCAAATAGAAACAGGAATTCCCAAAGGGATTCTGATCCTGCCCCCACTGAAATGCTAAAGGGTTTTGTGGCAAAAAGTCTATTGACTCTTTAGTGGGGAGTAGGACTGGCTCTGGGTGGCTGGAGAATCAGCACAAGGGTGTGTATGGTACTTTGAAGTGAGAGCTGTCATCTTTCCATTTCCTTCTTTGAGCAAATACTTCACTATTGAAGTGGTAGGCTGGATGGCTTAGGACAAAATAGAGTGTGTGTATGAAGCCTGGCACCTCTCTCCCTGATAGCAGTGACTGAAGGTTATCGTTGCTTGATGCCCGCTAATCGTTCTTAATAGAATGAGTTGGTGGTTTCCATTCATTTATAGAGGATAAATATCTATACTTCAAAATCAGTCCTACTCTTGGATGCATTTTTGTTGGCAATCTCAGCGGAGAGAACAATGATTAGCATGGAAAGAACTTTCTCCCTTAGGCCTGGTCTACCGTCGTCTAGAGGAATTTTGCAAACATTTCACACTGTTAGCTCCAATGGAGCTTAACTAGTGTTAGCAAATGTAGGAACCCAGGCATAGACTGGAAACCGGCTGCTATGGTATTTTAAGCACCTGCTCTGAGCAAGGTTGGATGAATGTTTTTAAAATACCAGAAGTGTAGAGATGTTTTCACTACTGCTACCTAAGATGTAACTTATTCTGCACATAAATGAAAGTTCCAAGACTGTCAGTCCAATAACTTCCTTCTCCAGTAATCACTTAAATTCTGGGGTCTGTGGCCCCTCCCTCATCAGGGAAGGGGAGGGCCTTTTCTAGGGGATGCCTCCCACCATCCCAGGATTTAAATAGGCCAGTAACTTCTTTTTTCACAGTAAATACCCTCTAAAATACAAAATAAAAATGCCATCAGAAATGAGCTTTGACAAGCTAGAAATCTTGATCACACTGTTTAGGTTTGGAACTGGATATAATCTTGGTATTAATCGTTTAGTAAAAAAGAAATGTAACAAATCACAAATAGTAAAAATGTGTCTCTTTTTTTAATTCTAGATTTTCAGACGTGCTGACAAAAACGGTAAGTCTGTATATTCATATACATTTATTTTGCTTTTCTTTTGACTGAGCCTAGAATGTTCTTGTGGATAATTGTATCTAACTCCTCCCCACCCTGAAGCCTCATACAATCCAGGAGACTTTAAGAAAGCAATACAGGTTAATGCTTTGAGAAGGTCACGTAATTCTATGGCTGCAATATTCTTAGAATCAATGTGACACTAACCTGAAACTCCTAACAAGTAAATGTGTTCCTTAAGCAGTTCAGATCTACTCTATGCCTCAAAGCAGTGGTCTGTAAATTACACATGTCTTGAAGGAACATAAACCAACTTCCTGAGAAACAGTAACTGACTGATCCTGTTGTAATTGTTCATCTTTGTGACTTAGTTCTGTCCCATTTGCAAAGCTGCTTGTTTAGTGGTGTAAAATGGATGGCTCTGTCATCAGCAGGGGAAGAATTCAGAGCCACCCAAATCTCTCTTGTCAGGTCCTCTCCTCAGGGCTCAATTCACTGCCAAACTCACAAAATAAGGCAAAACAAAAGCTAAGTCCTCAGAGCACCCCAGCTGCTAGGGCCAAGAGGCCCATCTATCTGTAGCTGTACCTGGGGCAGGATGCACCTCTTCCTCCTAAAGCCCCACTGAGTCATGTTACAGACAGGTCTTAACCCTTCCTTGGCCATTCCACTGTCACAGGTTCACGAAAGATTAAGAGGCTTTGTATGTGTTGAGGCTTTGGTGGTTTTGTGGAGTCATGTGGATTTTCTTGCATTGAAATGGATTTTGCACTTATCCCAACGGGAAGACACAAAACTGTAGCGAAGTCCAATATATTGCCACGACGCAATGAATTACAGAGATTATTCTTTCTTGGATGATCTGTTTTGGATTCCTAAAGAGATAACTGTTCTGCTTTCTCAGTGAGAATCTCAGGTGAGATGGGAGATATTTTACTTTATCTGAACACAGCAATTCATTTTCACTGTTGAAATCTCAAGATCCAGTGTCCAATCTTCTCCCAACAACACCATGAGATAATCGGTTCCGCACCAACAAGTGGTGTGTTTGTGGAGGCAGTTATTGGCATAATGGGTGGGGTTTCTTATTAAATAGGAGGCTGGAGAAAACCAGTCGTACCCTATCCAGGGATGGGATTAATGGGGAGATTCATGGGTCCCAAAAGAGGGCTATAGTGGCAACCACAACTGTGAGCATGAAGAGGTTATACACACTATTGACCTACTGGAGTCTGTGCAGTAAAGGTAACACCAGCATTTCAACCTGTCCCTTATAGGGTAGGACCCTAGAGGCTGAGTTACCTTGTTTTTCTGTCCCTTGGCACAGAGAGAGATGCCACAGGCTTGGGAGGAGGCTTTCCATGCTCGGCCAGTTAGATCCGCTCCTGCTGGAGAAGGAAGGCATCCTTTAATGTAGAAGGAACTCTTAAAACCCCGCTATGTATCTGCCAAATACCAGGGGTTGTTGCCTTGAGAAAACAAGTTAACCATTTTTCTGGGATCAGAGGGGAGGGTGGGTTTGGGTTTGGATTCAAGAGCCCCTTGCTGAAAAAAGAGAATAAAGAAGGGATTAAAAAATGAAATAAAATGCCTGTATTAAAGAGTGAGATCAATAGTAACTTAAGGCCAAACTAGGTAAAGAGCAGTACTATTATCTATGCAGGATCCTGCCTGGGGAGAAACTGGGATAAAGACCTGATAATATCCAGCACTGAAGGGGCCAAATTAGTCTCTGTCACTGTTGGTTTCAGCAGAGTCACCCCAGAGGTGATTGAACCCTATGTTCTGTCTTTTGTTCTTGCTGGCTTGCTCTAATATTACAGGCAAGCCACCTCCATTTTGATTATGTCCGATCTGTAGCCAAAACACAAGAAACTTCTTGTTTGCATTCACTTTTCTCAAAGAAGAGGGTTTTTTTCATGAAATCTTGTATACAGGGTGCTGTGAACTAGAATGCTGTCGGTTCAATGGTATTTATTTATATTTTTCTATTTCCCTTTAAATTGTCAATATCTTTCTGTTGCTTAAAGATAATAGGCCAAATTCTGAGCTCAGTTATGCCTGTGCCAAACTTGTGTAGTTTATCACGTTACTCCAGATTTAGACTGGTGAAATTACTTCTGTCCACAGCAAATGTTTCATGTCCTCCTCTTCTTAGGATCACTAAAATCACGGGCTAATTTTCCAAGAGGAAAAAAATGATTACTGTCCTTTATGGAAAGTAATTTAATTATAGAGCAATAGTCACTGCAATAATGTGCAGTAGCCTGTTTAAAAAATTCATTTAATCTTGATTTAACATATCTACCTTGATGATGTCAATTTAAATGATTATTTTTCAGATCTAATCACTTACTTATTTTGCCAAGTGATGTCTTCGGCACTTTTGTTTTAGTCTCCACCAACAAAACAATCCCAGATTTAGATGTACTAAGTTCAATGATTCTGGAAATTAACAAACCATTTTCTTGGCTGATGTGCCTAGATTAATGTCTGTGCTGCTGAATGTGAGTGTAGCATCTGTGTGGTGGCGTTCTTTAAACTTTGGTGTTCTGCTGCATTTGCAGCATTTCAGAAGGAACACGCTAACCGTCTGGAGGGCAGAAATAGAGGTGCTTCCCTCTAACCCAGCAAATGAGGGAAAACTCTGGACATTTCCTGATTCTAGGTGCTAGGGCTTCAGATCGTGAAGATAAACTTTTGATGCAGTTATCATCTCAATATAAAGGGTATAAATAAGGAATAATGCCAAAGAAATCAGTGGAGTTCTGCTGGTTAATGAGGGGGGAGCATGAGGTTGTACAGCTCATATTCTGTGCTGCTCATTACATGCGGTAAACCTGGAGAAATTGTGTTCTGTAGACTTCAGATTCCTATGATTTATTGTGCTGATAAACTGTCTGCAGGGAAGGAAGGATTTCATTATGTCAGCTTCAAAAGCTGGTGATAGTGCCCATTCAGTAATATGTCTGATTTATGCACCCTCAAAGACGTTTGGCCTGTAAAACATTAGGTGTTATTGAAGTAAATTTAGAAAGAATGTGCTATGCTGATGGGATTTAGTTACTCTACATCAGTTATAGTTGATGTTCTTAAAGGACAAATATTAGCGTCTGGGGGTAAAACCTCTTTCCTCATTTCACATGTCTGATGGACTTAGTTTTTATTATTGAAACCTGCCTGATGCTTGTCTTTTCTCAATCTTATGATGCTCAGTTACTGATGACAGGCAAGAGCTTGTCGTCCAGTATTTTAATGTTAGTAGCAGACCAAAGGCCACACAAAGTATCTCCATTAGCAAGAATAATTCACTTATTTCTCTAATCACTAAAGCACTGCTCTCCACCTCTGATCAAAATCTTTGCCCAAATCCTCTGCAGGCCTCTCACATGATATTTTATCTCTTAATACAATTAGAACTAGTGATCTGTAAATATCAAACTGTATCAAGTTGATACATTACGATTTTGTAGCAAGGGGGAAAGGGCAAGCTGATAGAATGTGGCAGGACCGCTAAAAGCATTTTGATGTTGTGTCCATCTGACTGAAGAGGAGGAAAAAATGTAAGAAATAGAATGAAGGGTATAGGTAAACTGCACTGAATGGTTTGTTAATGGCATCTCTTTGCATAGAGAGCTGGGTTTACAAGTGGAACTCTATACATCTGATGAAGTGAGCTGTAGCTCACGAAAGCTCATGCTCAAATAAATTGGTTAGTCTCTAAGGTGCCACAAGTACTCCTTTTCTTTTCATGGGTTTAAAGTGTCCATTCCTGATCATTTGCTTTCTGGGATACCAAGGAAGAACCACTGTACATTGTATGCGGAGGGACAGCTACAGCTGATCAGTGATCTGATCGATATTGCTAATCACTGTGGATCTTTCAGGGAGAGTGCTATAGACCCTTCACACTTGATATCTCTTCCTTTCATGTATGCTGTGGATTTCTCAGGCATTAACGAGGCCAGCTTCTATTAACATCATTGCATTCTAAACATTTCTTGGCATAATGTTTCAATTAGAATCAAATCAATGGGGCCAGGTTTATGACATTTCTCCAAGATAGACTGGGACTGCAACATACATTGAATCAAGCATTCGACAGACCATACATAGAGATCTCATGAAATTTGAAATGTCATTTTCAATACGCAGTGGCGTATTGTTATAGTCGTTCAGGAGCGGTGCTTTCAGAAGTACCATCCTCAGCCCTACTTTGTGGCTAATGCAGCTAGTCTGACAAGTTACCCTGTGTGCATGGGAAAAGTGAGCACAGACATGATGAAAGGATTTTGTGTTTGTTTTCCTTGGCTCCTAAAACCCCCTGTTTGTTTCCAGCCATCTCACTAAGACTTCTGCCTATCAAGAACACAGTTCTCTCTAGTTGTCACTTCTTCTACGCAGGAAAGAAAAGCTTTATTTTGAGACAAATCACCAACTTTTCCTCTTCTAACCGCTCCCAAGCACCATTTCAGACCCCTTCTGTCAGCACGCGAGGAAGTGCTTCCTGTAAAACCTCCTCTGATGCTCAAAGAAACAGAGGCCTCCTTCCTTTTTATGCCTCCTTTGCCTTTGTCATCCCACATGTTGACTAGTGGAGACTGCGTACACACTGAGACAGCTTTGCTAATCAGCATTTCACACAACATAACAAAACCTGTTAATAATGCCCTGATTTTGAGTGCACTGCTTGCCAGCTGTAACATCTGCTTAGAAAATATGGATTATGTCACTTAAGGGAGAAGTGGTGCTGGCATCTTAGATCTCTCATTATGGACTTGTGAGGTTTAATCCTGCAAAGTGCTGAGCATCCTGAGTTCCTACAGAAGTCAATATGAATTAAGGGCACTCACCCTCCCTCAGGAGTTGATCAGCCCATTTTAGGATCAGGCCCTAAATTCTTATGTCTTCCAAATAATCCATCAACATCACAATTGAAATTTAAGATGGAGGGAAACTTCTGATGTTTAGTTTTTCCTTTTCTCATTGCTGTATTCTTACTG